ACCGGACGGCGGACGCCTCGACATTCTGCTTTCATTTGTTGTCCTTCCGCTTCGCGTGTCATTCAGCTTCCGGAGAATCGAAATAAGCTCTTGTTGAGAGATTTATCGTGTTCTTTAGCAAAATAAACCCCACCATTGTAAATCATTTAATCTCGCATCGTTGGAGAACATAGTAAAGTGGAAAAAGAATTTGAACGAGCAAAAAACTGCAATGCTCTGCCTGCGCGAACACAAACGAGGTATAATTGGAAAATTCGTGCGTTTACGTTGCATTGTTAAACTGACGGGATTTTTTTTGCCGTGGCTATTAAAAACCCCATCGATATTGTAATCGCCGATGGAATTCCCCCGGTTTGACTCGCCGACGCGCTTTGCGTCGCGACGCGCGAGTCGATTTTTATCACGGGCCGCGACACGCGTCCCGTTACAATCGCGTAATTGTAATTCACGGTTCCCCTCGCGTCTAAATCTTTTCCGCGCCGGCGGACTTGCGCCGTGAAAATACGTCGACGCGAAAAACCGCGCGGCCGCGCGCATTGTGATGCGCACACAAAACAAATAGCGCGCTACTTTATAACCGGCCACCGCGCGGCACGCGCCAGTCATTCCGAATAAATAAACGTAATAATCCCACACGAAATTCTCCGCGCACGCTAAAATCGCTGACGCGCAAATATGGTTAGGAGAAAGAAATAATAATCGGGATAAATGCGCGAGCGTAATCAAAAATTTCGCACGGAGCGCGCGAGATTTCTTGTTACGAATTAACGGTGCTCCCTCGCTTCGCCGGCCAAATGTTAATCTATTTCAAAGTAATCGATCGCATATTCACACATACATATATATATATATATATGTGAATTTACGTATAAATCGATTTATTGCGCGACTCTGTTAAATAACCACGTAATTAATAGGTTATTTAGACGATTTTCACAGACCTACGCGTGATAAATGTGAACGGGCAAAAGTTCCTGAAATCAGGCGAATTTCCCACGCGATACATTTTTGTAATTACATAGATTTTTAAACTTCACACTCACGTAATCACGGGAGCTTTGAACATCGGGCAAACTGATTCGTCTCTCGCGACTGACAGCGCGAGAGACGATTTATATTTTGTGATATAATAATGGTTTTAACGATATTATTTTTCGCTCGAATCGTGATTGTTCAACAGCCGCACGTGAGATAAATGTGAGCAAATAGCAATACGTAAATATATACAGGGTGTCCCATTTTAAAGTACGCACACAAATATCTCAGAAACACTGCGTTAAATCGAAAAATGTTTCAGACAAAAGTTGTTTAGCTTGAAGGGGGACATAAGACAGCGATAGCATTTTGCTTATGGATGGCGCCACTTTCGAGATATTCACTGATCATCAATTTTCTTAAATGCAAATCCAAATTTTTCATCATATCATCCTTTTCTACCAATTAATTTGAACAACTTTTGTCTGAAACATTTTTTTGTTTGCTTAATATTCTTTGAGATATTTAAGGAAAACTTGGTAACTTTTTCAACATTTAACTTACGATATCTCGCTAACTATTCGTCGAAAGAAAAAATAGTATTAGACTTTTTTACTTTATTTACTATCAAGAATATATTACTATAATAGTGCCCTAACTTTTGTTAACTTATCGACCTTTGGAAATTCAAAATTATTAAATTAATATTATGCGCGGATTTTCTACACGATATCGTATATTTGAACAAACGTACTCAAGAATTGCACTCAAAAGTCGGGGAATTTTGGAAACCCGATGAATTGATTCTTTCTCTCTCTCTCTCTCTCTCTCTCTCTCTCTCTTTCTCTCGCAATCAACAATGCACTGTCATACATACACCAATGCTGTTTAAATTTCGCGGAATAATAATAATATTTCCAGCGATATTATTTTCGTTCGATATTCGTATAATTATTTCACAGCCATACGCATAAGAAATGTGAGCGCATCACAATATACAAATTTGCACGAATTTTTACGCCATATCGCATATTTTCATGTATTCGCATAAATTTTTGAAACTCTACGTTCGGAAATGTGAAAACTTTCTGAAATAATAATAACAGCGACAATTTTAATAATATTAATAGAGCGCGCGGCCTGATTGTATATCAAAGTACTTTTAATATAATTTCTTCCCTATTCTAATTCTAATTACATTAAAGAACTTTTAATACAATCCCACGGATATGTAGAAAATGCAAAGTAATGCGTGTATCTCAAACGCGTATATGTGAAATCACGCTAGAATTTCGCGCATATAATCGTCAAACATCAGACGCACAAATCTGCAAAGAATCGCGGAATCGCGCACGCCTTACTTAATTTTCCGGTCTGACGCCGCTCGGGAAGAAGAGAAATCACATGCTGCGGGATTAAAAAGGGAGGTGGCCTTCTTTCTTTTGCGACTCGCGGTTGCGCGTAATGGATTTATTAATTCAAGCTCGACCTTTATGCAAACAAAGTGTGTGGGCGCCGGACTGATACGCGGATAAACGCGGCTACTAAACCAAAAATATTTCCCTCAGCCGGCGCACACACAGGCAAACAAATTGCATTCTGCTCCGTTAACCTTTTGCACCGCGACGATATCGCATTTTCCTGAGAACAACGCGCAAATAAAATACCAACCGCCGCGGAATCGGCAGTTTTCTTCTTTTGCCTTTTTTCCTTCTTTTTTCTTTTTTTTCTTTTTAGCTTTTTTGCCGTATCGTGGTGAAAATGTTGCCAGGCGCGCGCGAACATTTCGAGGATTTCGAAGAGATTTCCGGAGGTTCTTGGAAATATTGCCGGAAGGATCCAAAAAAATCCCGCGCGCGCGGAAGCGTTGCGGAATTTCCCCGCGGCGATGCCGCGATGCGAGGCGAACGAAATCGCAGTTTGATCCACGAGATCCAATTAAGACCTCATCCGTCGCGACGCGAACAAAACGCAGGAGAGATGATCGGCAGCGGCATCGCACGGAGTCGAATTTAATTCTCTCGCGTTGATTTGCGAATTTTTCCTTTTCTTTCCTTTTCTTCACCAACTTGTAATTATCCGTTACGTGAGCACGCATTATGTTAATTAAGTACACGCGTCTATGCGGCTTGTGCGCTTGTCTCGTCAGCGCGATCGCGGATATTTGGACGGGGAAAGATGCTCTTCACACGAGTGCGTAAAAGTGACTGCGACAATATATTCCAAACGGCCGAGTCGTTTGATCTACCAAGCTCTCTTATCAATCAACCGTTATTATATTATATTAATAATAACATATCAGACTTGAGCTTTCGGCATAATCGGGCACGAAGTGTCACTTTATGCGCGCGGCGTTATCACAAATGAGAAATTGCCCGAGAGAGAGAGAGAGAGAGAAAGAGGCGAAATCCGCGCTCGCGCGCGTTTCATTGACCATCGTACTTTGCGAGGGAGGGCAAAGGGAGGGATAGCGACGTCGGAACTGCCGCTGCGGCCGATAAGAGACGCACAATGCGCCGAATTCCGCGAAAACTTGCCGTAGTCTCCCGCGCGCCGCGCGAGCTGGCTCTCTCCGATTTGTCCGCATACCGGCCGCGCGCAAACATCGTAAAACGCAAATGCGAATATTAACGCGAGTGCGCGTGAAACGCATGCGATCTGCTGCGGCGGCGGATGCGCGTTAGTGCCGCAGTCGAGCCGCAGCGAAATCGCCGCGAGCGAATCGGCCTCGACGTAAGAGAAACGGCGCGGCGCGGCGATGTCATGATTTGATTGAATTCGAAGAAAACTTTCTTTCTCAGCGTAGAATCGGGGATTCAACGCGCGTATCATCGTCGTCCGCCGAGTCTTCAGTGAGATGAAATAATTACACGTGGAAATCACACACAGTTACTTTTTTACGTAGGTCGCTTTACGAGGAAGAATTCGGAACGAGTCCCTCTTACTTGGAAATTCGGAGGGACGACGATACTGAATTAACGCGAAACCTCGGCTAACGATAATTGGCAAACAGAACTCGAACATACGCGAATTTCTGCGCTCGATCGGCTGCCTCCGACGTCGAAAAATCCAAGTTTATATTAACTCGGCGCTATACCTTCCTTCCTTCCTTGGAACTTTCGGTAGGAAAAGATTGCCGCTCCGCGGGATGACAATTCCTCTCACAAAGAGGTAATTCGGGAGAGATGGCGATAATATGCTGCGTTGGCATAAACTCTCATCAATGACTGTTAATGACGATTGATACGAAAGCTCCAATGTACGTCGACTACCGCCGACTTGAATATTTGGCTGGAGATCCAGATTAATCCGCGGAATCTGACTCGACACATGGAGACTGATGTGTACTCGGCTTTATCATCCGTTAGCACTAATCGAGGAGTTTATCGCTTATCAGCACCATCGCCGTTCCTTTGACTTTTCATTAAGGGGAGATCACACCGCGCGGAGATCACTTCTTCAGAGCGATACGAACCTCGTTACGAGAGATAACACGCAACTGACACGCTTTCTTATTGAAAACTCGGAGGGATGACGATAAGTGAAACGTATCTCCCCCTCGATGTACAATCAGCGGGATCCCCGGTCTTCGCGGGAGGGCGGTTTATCGCTTTCAAAGGAGCGGCAGAGGAGGGAGGGAGGGAGAGAGAGAGAGAGAGAGAGGCAGGTTCCTCCGCGAGACGATTCGCCCTGGAGCGCGTCCGGTCTCTCGCAGCGCGCCGTTTACCGCGCATTGCATCGCGCTAATTACAAATAACAATGATACTGCAGCTGCGCGCGCGCGCGTCCCGCAGTGTTCGCACGGAGCCGAATTTTCGCGGAACGACTCGGCCGCGAACCGCGCGCGATTTAATATCGTCGCGTTAATCGGGCGGACCCGCGAACAAGCGCGTGCACGCGATCGGCTCTGCGTCAAAGAAGGATGTCATTCTCATGGCTGTTCTCTCTCTCTCTCTCTCTCTCTCTCTCTCTCTCTCTCTCTCTATCTATCTATCTATCTCTCTCTCTCTTTCTCTACGACTTACCTCACGTCGACGACGATTGCAGCGGAGAAGCGTGGAGTCGGCAGGGAGTGCGGTATGTCGGAACGAGTCGCGCCGATTAATTAGCGCACTATTACGCTGCGGCTAAGATAATTAGCGATGCTTAACCCCGTGTTGACTCGCGCGCGATCTCATCGCAAACGCCCCCTCACCGTGTTCTCTACTACTGCGATTACCAGCGTCTTCGAGTATACACACACACACACACACACACACACTCACATATGTGCGCGCGCGCGCGCGATGTTCTCTCAGTCGTCCTCTCTTTCCCTCCCTCTCTTCCTCTGTTTCTCCCTCTCTCTCTCTCTCTCTCTCTCTTTTTCCCTCCCTTTCTTTCCGTCTTTCTTATTCACAGTTAATTCAACAATCGACGACGACGGTTCGGTTTGTTGAGCACGCAGGCGACGCGTCGTGTTCACTCGCTGTCGCCGATCGTTGCAGGCCGAAACTGCTATTACTTTGTTAACTCCTCCTCTCGCGCGGTCCTTCGCGTAGTCCTCGCAGCTCGTCCTTTCGATCGCGTGGTCTCCGTTGATCGCCGACTCGCTTTGTGTCTGTTCAACGGCGCACGAAACAACGTCCGGTGGACGAGCGATAGATCGTGAGTTGCGCTCTCCAGCTCCTGTTAGTCCTCCAAGGACCTCCTCCTAGTCCAGCACTCGCGCGATGGTCGTCGCGAAGCACATCGTCGTCGTTGGCGGCTCTCTCGCGCGGGAAATTGCGTGGCAAAATTGAACTCGCGCCGTCGGGGTGTCCTTCCTCGCTGCCGCTCCGTGCGAGGGGTGCCCTTCTCGGGGCGCGAGTCCTCCGACCTCCGACTCGGCAGGACGAATCCGCGTGAACGCGACGATACGACGACGGCTCGTAACAATTAGACGAGGAAGTCGCGACTAACAATCGCGGCGGGACACCCGAGCCAGCGAGAGTCGCTTAACGATTGCGGGAGCCGGACAATTAGCGCGGCAGGGCCGGGACTCGATCGTCGGTATCGACTAACGAATTACAGCGGAGAATTGGCTGCTGATCGACGCGGAAGTAATCGCCACTCGTGCGAGCGCAAGGACTCGGCTGTCCTGACGAAGAAACGAAAACTCGATCTCGAGTATCGCTCTGAGCGCTCCTCTTTCTCTCTCTCTCTCCTTCTCTCTTTCGTCTTCTCACTCTGCTTGTCTCAGTCTCAGCAACTTAGACGAGGCTAAATGCGAGTCAATGATTAACACGCGGGAGGGGGGATAAAATAATCGAGGGGGTCGCTTCAGGGGGAATCCATGTCGGGCGAAGATCTCGCTGGTGGATCAACGACCAAGGAAGTCGACGCGACTAGGCTCTTCTTCATTTGAGACGAGACTTTTCTCTCTCTCTCTCTCTCTCTCTCTCTCTCTCTCTTTCTCTCTCTCGGGAGGGTGCTCGAAATTCCGAGAAGCAGCACAAGCAGGACGGTCACATAATCCTTCTGCGGCGCGGGCGCGAGAATCGACGGCGAGTCGCGGCGAGTCTCAGGAAGCGAACACCTACGTCTCGAGGACGACACCTCCGGGTACCGCGTCGAACCGCAAGTCCCGAGCACCCTTATCCCGTCCGAGCGTCGTCGTGTCCATCTGGAGGATCATCGAGAGGCAGCTGCCGATGAGCTTCCGCCGGGACTTCGGCACGATCGCATCGTCGATCGACGGAAGTCGCCCCCTCCCGCTCGTTCACTGTCCACAGCTGCCGCGAGGAGCGAAGCTCGCGAGATCGAAGAGGCTAAGATCGGTGGACCGAGGACGCTGACGAAGGACTGCTGATCATCAGTCGGTCGGCCGATCGACCGACCGATCGATCGCGCGAGATCACGGCCGGTGTCTCTCGGGCTCAGACGATCGTCCCGGGCGCGCCGGGCGAGATCGCGACGACGGCTCCGTCGAGTGTCATGCCGATGGCTCACGGCAGCAGAGAGAGAGAGGATGGTTCGTGCTCAGACCGTACGACGGTACTGCGGCCGCCGGCGACGCGCTGCCACCACCGCCGCGATGGGAAACCCCGTCCCGTAGTAGTTCCGTACCGCGAAGCGGCGCGCGGCTGTCTGCGTGCGAACTGGCGCAAGCTCCTCCGAAGCTCGGTCGACACACAGAGAGCGAGAAAGAGAGAGAGAGAGAGAGAGAGAGAGAGGAGCGAGCGCAGAGGGGGAGGGGGAGGCGGAGGGAGGGAACAAGCGAGCGAACGCTCGCGGACGGGAAGCTCGATACCGTCTCGCGCGCGCGAAGGGTCGCGAGAGCGAAATTCATGAGGGGGATGAATTCGCCGTGCGAAAATTCGCGTGCTAATTCCGCGATATTAGTCAGCCGGCTAGCAATGTTCCGGGTATTAGGCGGCAACTCCCCGTTAGCGATATACACGGTAACGCGATGTTACGTTATTAATAGAACGCGACCGCCCAAGTGCGATGTTACGTCGTTAATGGTAATTTTGTGTGACGCCGATGTGATGTACGACAGACAGAGGTGTGTCTGCGTGTACGCGCTTCCACGAGTGCGTGGGGAAGGGAGGGATGCGCGGCGGAGGGTCGTTAAAATTTTTATTTCACGTAATATCGAACGTTGGAGAAGAGGGAGGAAAAAAGCGGGGGGGAAATTATTCAGGCGCAAATTGTTGCGCCAACCGCGCGATATTTCATCCGACTGATAGCCGCTAATTAACGTTAATACTCCGCGCGTGCGCGGGGTTTTTTTTTTTTTTTTTTCTAAAGGAATTCGCCGACGATTTATTGGCGCATCGTAGACGGCGGCGCTCGTTGTTCCCGAGATAGGAGAGAGGAGGGAGGCTTTCGCGACTTCGCGGGGAGAAGGGTGGCGGCGCGGCGGCGGCGGGGGACGAAGAGGACGGCGGTTTGTCTTTCGCCGTATTCGAGGGGGAGACTAAAGGTGACGCGGAAAAGCGCTCGGGGATTGAGGTTTTAACAATGGGGTGAATTTTCGGATGTAGCCGCGCGATTGAAATTCGCTAAATGTTTGATGCGCGCGATCGCTATTTCGTAACATTTCGCGACGACATTGCCGATGCGGTGGTATTGGAAATTTAACAGGAAACCCCCGTTTCCTTTCGAGTCAAGATTCGAATAATGTTCGAGGAACGTTTCGTGAAGTTGCGAGGGAAGACGCGTGGGACGAAAGTAAATCCGCGAGCGCGCTCGTGAGAGACGGCAAAATACATATATCCGCTCGCTCGCTCGCTCGCTCGCGAAGCCCGTCGGGAACACAACGAGCTTATTCGCTTACGTTTATTTATTAGTGCGCGAGCGAGATTTCATGGCGGAATATTTTACAAGCCGTAACAAAAGTCGGTATTGCGGTGAAATATTTACACGGGAATTAAGACGATCCGCTTGCTGTATTTGATACACGGAGTAAGAGCAAACGTCAATATTTGAGGGAGAATTTATATCGAGAAAGCTTGTTACCTCTCTCTCTCTCTCTTTCGGTTGGAAATATCGAAAGCTTAATTATTCACTCATTGATCTTATTATATCTCCAAAGAGACTCGGCATGTGGAGAGTCCTGAGGCGCTGCTCTGCATTTTCTTTCACTCACCTGTACCTCTAGTTTGACGTCGATCCTTCGTCACTGGAGGGGGAGGGGGGATACCGAACAGGGCGAAGAAAACATATCTGTGGTTAAAAAATATCTCATCAACCATCGCGACACGTCCAACGACACTTGAACACGTCTCAGTGGCAAAATTCAAATCATCCGCGTGTAATTTGATAGTCATTTATCGAGACATTTACCGTCGAAATTGAAAACTCGGTGACGTCCGATTAAATTCTCATCAGAAAATCGATCCGAAGTTACATAAATAAATTGCATCCTCCTGCAATATCTCGGTTCATCGGAATACACCGCGTGTCACGAAGATGTCACTGTCGAAACGCAGATCTCGCTGCGATTTTTATAGTCCATCCCGAGGCCGAGTAAGAGGGGGGGGAGGAGAGGGCAAGGAAAAGGGAGAGAATGCAGTTTCATAGCTCATGAATATGAGGGCGGCGGCATGATATCGATGTTCGATGTCGCGCAAGCTGCAACTACCGGCCCCTCGTCACGGACTTTATTTGTGAGCGCGTACGTGACGGACAGCAGAAAGAGAGAGAGAGAGAGAGAGAGAGAGAGAGAGAGAGAGAGAGAGAGAAAGGGAGAGGGAGAGAAAATGAGCGAAACCACGCACGAAAGGAAAATGTTTATGATGCGCGCGAACGCGCTTAAACAGTGTGTCGCGTAACAGCATGGAATCCGCATTGTCCTGCGCATCCAGCGAGGAATCAAATGCGATCGATATACGAGCGGAAAGAGTATCCGCGCCGGTATCTCTCGCCGAGCGCGCAGCGGCGACCGATGGAGAACGCTCTTTCACCCTTGAGTAGGTCGGACGGATAAGTTTGTTTATCCGGAGACGGGAAGTTTCCTTAAGCACACACGGTGCAATCTATACCCACCCACCTATATACCTGCGAATTGACCTGATAGAGAGAGAGAGAGGGGGGGGGCGAGAGGACGTGGAAACCACTCGCGCATTCCGCCGCGCGCTGCTAGTGTTCTTTCGACGAATTTGTCGTTGAACTTCCATTAGCGAAGAATCAACCGGAAGCGAAGGAATCACTTTATACTCGCCGGGTATTTCGTTTTCTCTTCATCCTCGGTTACCTTTTCTCCTCTTATTTTCGGCAATTGACCTGAGCGTTAATTATCGATGAAATCGGTATCTTGAAATGATTAAAATTATATATATATATATTATATATTTCTTAAATATTTCTCTAATATTTTCTCTAATATTTCTCTAATAATTCTCTAATAATATATATATATTTTTTATTTATATTTCATATTCCCCATTTACCCGTTAATTTTTTTACATCTCGACAAATATCTCTTAATAATTTTTCAAGTAACGTAGATATGTGTGTACATGTGCGTGCGTGTATGAAGTAGTAAAGTAACAAGCGCAACAAACGCGAGGCGAAAGGCCGAATTTGCTTACCGCGACAATGAGAGCCGAAGAGTACGAGCGAGGGAGACGGCGAGGAAAAGGGACAGCGAGATAGGTTAGGAAGGAAGAGAGAAAGAGAGAGAGAGAGAGAGAGAGAGAGAGAGAGAGAGAGAGAGAGAGGTCTCCTTTTCATCCCCTTAATAAAGGCAACGTTTCAGGGACGCGTGTCAGAAAAAAGGCTAATCAACAATTCTCTTTGCAAAATGCGCTCGTGCATATGCATCGTCGCG